GTTTCTAGGAATCTGTCCATTTCTTCTGTGTTTTCCGTCTTAGTGGCATATAGGTTCACCAAGTAGTTATTGATGATCCTTTGGATTTCTTCTGGGTCTGTTGTAATTTCACCCTTTTCATTCCTAATTGCATGGATTTGGGCCATTTCTTTCCTTTTTCTGATAAGTTTGGCTAAGGGCTTGTCAATTTTGTTTATTCTTTCGAAGAACCAACTCTTGACTTCATTGATTTTTTGCATCGTTCTCTTAGTCTCCATTGCATTGGTTTTTGCTCTGATCTTTATAATTTCCTCCCTTGTGTGAGCTTTGGGTTTATCCTGCTCTTCTTTTTCTAGAAACTTGAGGTTCAGCATCAGGTTACACCATTGAGCTCGCTGTTTTCCTAACATGTGTATTCACTGCTATGAATTTCCCTCATAAGACTGCTTTCATTGTGTCCCTCAAATTCTGATATGTTGTATTGTCATTATCACTTAATTGAAGGAACTCTGATTTCTTCTTTAATTTCCTCTGTGCCTCATTGGTTATTCAGAAGTGTGTTGGTCAATTTCCATGTGTATATGAAATTCTTGAGTTTCTTTTGCTATGCATCTCCAATTTCATCGCACTATGGTCTGATAATATACAGGGGATAACTTCAATTCCTTTACACTTACTTAAACATGTTCTATGAGTGAGTACGTGGTCTATTTTGGAGAATGACTCATGTGCAGCTGAAACAAATGTGTAATCTGGTTTTGTGGGGTGGAACACTCTGTAAACATCTGTTAAGTTCATTTGTTCAAGAGTATGATTGAATTCTACTATTTCATTACTTATTTTTTGTCTGGTTGATCTATCTATTTGTGACAGTGTGGTATTGAGGTCCCCCATTATTATTGTATTAGGGCTTATTTGATTTTCCATGTCCATTAGTATTTGTTTTATATAGTTGGGTGCACTAGTGTTCGGTGCATAGATATTTATGATTGTCATCTCTTCCTCTTGGATTCTTCCCTTTACAAGGATGTAGTGTCCTTCTCCGTCTCTCTTAAT